TACATCTAGAATATTTTGATTTTTGAAAATCAGGAACGGAAAAGAAAAAATGTCGGCTTTTCCAAAATATATCTTGATGACTTATCAAAAAACAATTGTGTATTGAAAAACTTCGTATTATACATTATTATTGATTAATCTTTTCCACTACTAACTAGAAAATATGTGAGACGTAAGAGTCATTCATTGTATTACATAATACATCTAAGAAATATGTTTCTGTTCCATCAGCATCTTTGTAAAAAAATCAAATTCTGTGTCTTATGACACGAAAATTAGGAACCTGTGAAGAATACTTATCTTATGGATTATAGATACCAATATTTTGTTAGAAGCACGTACGAAGATGATAGTGATGCAAGGCTTTAGATCTGCCATTTTGTCAGTGATCGATCGTTCCAGTTCTATCTCAAGATTTAAAACACTATCTGTATTAAAAGTTATGTTTGTATGTTTATACATTGAGTACAAGAAATAGATTTGTACATAATATTAGATAAAATGAAAAATAGATGAGAAACATTTCAACAACATTACATAAAGACAAAAAGTGTAGAGAAGCAGTATTTTTAACTTTTTTCCTTATCGGTAATAACTAATGCAAATCAGACAAACAGTATAAGTAATTAAATGAATTACCTATCAGGAGAGATACTTGTCGAATTCTCATCAACAGATTTAAACAAAAGATCTCTAGAAAAAAAAAATTTGAAAAATCAGTTTTCTAGATTCTTTCAAAAATATTTTGGAAACAAATTCATCTGATAGAAAGAGCATTTTCGAGCAAAATAAGATATTCCCGACTTCTCCATGAATTATCTTCAGTGAACTGCACTCAATCTTCAAAAGCAATGATTGTCATTCGTTCGCTGAAGTTAGATCCTGTAGAGCTTGTGGAACATTTTATTTTATTCAGAAATATTTTCTCTATCAGATAAAATCGTTTGCAAATCGTTGTTGATAGAATTTAGAAACTGATTTTGGAAGTCTTTAGTTTTTCAGAACCATTTCACCCAAACTTGCTAATGAGAATTTGACAATGGCCTCATCTGATAGGAAATCGTTTCAGCTAATCGTTCTTTATCCTAATGAAACTAGTTGTAGCAAAAGAAAAAAAGAAAAATACTATACCCAAACAAAGCTTTTTTCGTTTGAAGAAGTATTATCTATCTTTTACAGTTCGTCAAATACATGTTTGGATACTATCGACTTAAACTAGATAGCATGATTTAGATGTTTTCATATTTTTCTACAGGATGTGGGCATGCCAGCTGAATTTATTATAAAATTACAACAAATGTTTAAAGATCTTAAATTAAATCGTGATATGAATGAAGAATTTCGAACTGTATGTCCATCGTCACGTAATAATAATACAATGATGGGTAAATATACATAATATTTGTGTTTTTTTGTTGTCAAGTCTATATCTTAATGTTTTTTTTTAATTTAATCTAGATTCATTTTCATTTAAAATTCTAAGTGCTGCTGCATGGCCTCATCCAGGTGATAAGATTGATGTATCATTACCAGCACAGATTGAAGATGTTCTACCAGAAATTGAAGAATTCTATAAGAAAAAACATTCAGGAAGAAAATTAACTTGGTATCATACAGTATCAAATGGACAGGTAATTACTGGAAAAAAAGCAAAATTCACAATAAAAATAAAAATACTTTTTTATCTTATTTTTTTTAGTTAACATTTACTTCTAAAAATGGTAAATACGATTTAGATGTATCAACATTACAAGCATCGGTACTTTTTTCATGGAATCATCGACCAACAAATAAATTGACATTTAGTGAACTTAAATTAGCAACAAATATACCGGAAGTTGAATTAAAAAAAACTCTATGGTCATTAATATCATTTGCAAAACTAAAACAACAATTAATATGTTATGAACCACATGTTGAATCCTATCAAGAGCTTAGTGAAATAAGTTTATTTTGGATAAATTATGATTTTTCAATAATACGCGCTGGTAAAGTACAAACACGTGGTCATATTAATATGATACAACGTCTTCAATTAAACACAGAAAAAGGACGTGAAGAAGAAAATGAAGAAATTATGTTTTTACGTGGTGAACGTACAAAAGAAGCTATTGTTAAAATAATGAAAACACGACAACGTATGAATAATGCTCAATTACAAACAGAATTAATTGAAATACTTAAAAATATGTTTGTACCATCAAAAAAATTAATTAAAGAAATGATTGAATGGTTAATTGATCATCGATATATGGCAAGATCAGAGACAAACATATCAGAATATGTTTATGTAGCTTGAATAAATATTTTCATGTACCGTGTAATCTTTCGTGAATCATTTTTAGGCAAATATTTTCTTTTTTCTTGATGTTAACTGTGATAATCTGACTTTGTTTGTTCTCTGATAGTCTATTGTTCTTTTATCTATTACATCTTACATTCTTTTTTTTCATTCCCGGTTCTGAAATCTCTGTATGTGCGCATATAACAGCATGAAGAATCATCAGTTTCTTGTCTTATATATATATTTCTTCTTGTATGTAATTTAACAATTGGTAAAATAAAAACACACACAGATTTATGTCATCATGATCACTGAAATATATCTACACATATTATTATAGAAATAAATATAATATTATTATCTGAATTAATCTTAGTAAAAGCAATCAAATATTAATTGAATACACTAGAGAGTACATCATTTAGTAAGAAATCTTGATTTCCATATTAAATTTTTAAGAAACTAAGAGATATTCCAACTTCAATAAAATCATTGTGCGACTAGCAATTCAATGATATAATATTTTGAAAACTGTGAGAATTTTTCTTTTGATTACAACATAGTTATTCAAATTGAGTTTGAATATTATTTAGCAGTAGACTTTTTTTTAAAATGAAACACATACTTGAATAGTATCTTAATCTGTAACACTTTCGCAGTGATGTGATCTACCGGGTAGATCACATTATGGTGCATGATCTATAGTCAGACATAAAAATCAGCGATTCTCAGAAAATTTATTCTTCTATTAGGCTCTATCAAAGTAACTGCGTTGATAATTTTTGTAACGGGTGCGCGTGTGGTGAATATCTTCTATAGCCAGACCCACACCCACACAATGTGTTTTGGAATTGAAACTTGAATAATTCTAGAACCGATAATTAGTTGTTATATCTGTAAGTTTTAGCTTTCTCCTTTACTACTTCGATCTACTTCGATCTTTTACAAGATAATGCCTATGATGAATTGATGAGCGATAACGCTGGGTAGACTCATTGATGTATTTAGACTCACATAACCTTCAACCTATAGTATTTTTCATTTAAAACTGAGTTTCAAAAGAAAACATTTTCTTCTCGTCAACGGCCGGGAGAAGTCTACGAGGTCTGACAAAGTAGCCCAGAGGATTATTACATTCACACGAGATTTATACTACATACAATCCATATATGCTATCAATGGGCCGAACTAGTGCGTCTTTAGAGTAATCTCAACTGATTCTTTACTACACGGTGTATGTACATTTAGAATTTGGTAGGGAGGTCATTAGAATTTTATCTGAATATATCTATACTAAATGTCGTGTACCTTTTTTTCCCGCTTTATGGGTATTTTTCGTTCTTGGCGTTCCTTAGGAATCAAATGAGCTATAAAGACCCCTAAAATATTACGCGCCCCCACTCCTGCCTATAAGAGACACATATGCTCTACATTCTGAGATGATTCCAAAGCGCCCAAAGATGTTCATTTCAGTTTGAACGTAACACAACAGTTGAGCGCGCGACATTTGTGCGTCGACACTTTCACGCCGACATCCCAGCATCTTTGGCGTTTCCCTAGTCTCAATCCTTTTCATTCATTGAGAAATGCTGGAGAAATCTCCTCAGTTCCTGATAATTTCTGTTTCAAGGATTTCTCACGATTACACAGGATCTTGTTCAGGATTTCTTTAGGCTTCTGCGCAGATTTCCTTCTAAATTATCTATGCAGAATTCACTCCTCATCCTGCTTATGATTTCATGGGTACACTATTTCTTCAGGATTTTGTCGTTTCCTGAGGAAAAATAGCAAATTCTGGAAGGATCCTTATCAGACCTCGGAAGGATCTGGCACGAAAACATCAAGGATTTTCGCTAGGATTTTTCAGGAGCTTGCTATAAAACCTGCTGTTTTGATGCGACCAAAGTAAGTGCCAAACTTAAGGATACCATTTTACCGCAAGATGTTGTGAAAGCATTGAAGATGCTGATAGGCGCTAAAAAACTGCTGACGGTACCGAGCAGATGATGGTGGCTTCAAATCTGCACTTATCCCTTGAGTGTTGATGTGTGTGGGTGTTGTGGGCATTGTGAGTGCGTATAAGCCTTGTCTTTACGGATGCAGTTCAGGTTCTAACTTGCTGGCTACACGAATACGGGCGTCTACACAATACACTTCCTATCCACTCCTACAATCACGAGGTAAAAGGTAGAGACAAGTATCCAATGCGCTTAAGTGTTGTGCGCGGTAGTGTCGCGTGCGAAAGTGTCAGCGCGCAAATGTCATACAACCCTAAAGTCTACCTCCTGAAAATATCATCTTTTTTTCTTACAATCTGTCCAAATAAAAATATGCTCCCGTGGTTCTCCTGGAAAACGTCGAAACTAAAATGTCGAAAGTAAGAATATCAAATGTAAAATCTGGAAGGAAACGCTATACATACTACTTGACATATTGGAAGGTAGACATCGTGAAGTATTCAAAACACATAGTGTGAGATGACACTAACAGTCAATAACTATCATAAAGTAAGTATATATACTTGTAGTCAATGTTGTTGGTTGATTACGTAAACGATCACGGGAGTGGACAACATATCCAATATAACGGATAGAGCTGAACAAAAAAAAAACAACTAAATATTGTTTACGTCAGCTTGATCAAAAACATCATCAATAACTACAGTTTGTAGAAATTTATGATGAATGAAACAACAGAATCATTTATTAAGCATAATATGAATATTAGTTTCATTACATCAAATAAAGGTCATTTATTGCTCGTGTTAAATGATTATTTATACAAATGTAACAAGAAAAAAGCCAATAAAAAATATTGGGTTTGCATCAGTAATGGGTGTAAAGTTTATATTCAAACTGATCCAAATAATACATATCTATGTAGTGTCAGAGCTCCACACGATCATGAACCGAATCCTGAAATGGTTGAAGCTAAAAATGTTCATCAAAAAATTAAAGAACGAGCTCTTAAAGAATTAACATCAATTTCAATGATTTATGAACAAGAAGTTTCAAAAACATCCTTAAGCACAACAACTGTGGCAATCTTACCGACAAGTCAAGAAATTTGTATAATTTTCTAGAGTTAACATTTGACTAATTCTTTTCGCTTTTTTTAGATCCATTTGTAGCCAAAGCCCGACAAAAAGTTATTCCATTATTGCCACAATCTTGTGTATTCGACATTCCGAGTGATTATACAACAACGATTGATGGAAAACGCTTTTTATTAGCTGATGAATCACTTGCACGACGTGATCGTCTCTTAATGTTTTCAAGTGATCGTCAACTTGATTTATTATTTCGTTCTCCTATTGTTTATATGGATGGAACTTTTGCTAAAAGCCCACCGCACTTTATGCATATATATATAATACATCCGATTCTTTATGATATTTGTAAGTATTCTTGTTCTGACTTTCAAAAGACTTTTTATTTTGTTTTAGGTCTACCATGTGTTTTCTGCTTGTTAGTAAATAAAAAAGCTATTACATATAGGCATGTTTTCAGTGAGCTGAAATAAAAAGCTGTAGAACGTGATATAGTTTTTTCGCCTGTGCTGATTATGAATGATTTGAATCAGGTGTTTTGCCGGTGATTAAATCGGAAGTGAGTAATAATATGTTATAAAAAAGAATTTAATTTGATTTTTTTGTAGTTTCCTGCATCAAAACACTATGCATGTATTTTTCATTATTTTCAGGCGATTTATCGTCAAATACAATATTTAGGAAGACAACAGGATTATTCAAAAAATGAAACTTTTCGATTACTATGTAGGAAAATTATGGCATTGGCATTGATACCACGCGACCAAGTCATAAGTGATTTCAATGAAATACGAGATGATGCTGAACAATTACCCGGTCGACTTATGGATGAATTATTAATATATTTTGAAAAAAATCGACTGGTTAATATTGACTTATGGAACGTGTCCACTTGTGACACACGAACAAATAATGTTTGTGAAGGTGAGAACGACATAAAACGTTTTTAAATATATTTTGTTTCTTTTTAAAGGTTATCATACTTGAATGAACAGCTGCATCTATCGAAATCATCCTAACATTTGGTCTTTCCTAAACTTTATGCAAAATGAAGAAAAAAGGGTACAATGTATTACAATTTAATGGGTAGCAGGTGCTACAAGAAAAAAATATATTCGAAGAACAAGTATACAACATCGTATTAATAGTCTTAATAATCGATATGCTAAACAACTCATCAATGCATCTGAACTTCTCATGGGATTATCATATGTGGTTGTAAAAAAACTAAATAAGAATACGTTTGTTTATATTACTTGTTGATTTTGTTACTTATGCATTTTATTTTACTATTGTATCATTTTTTTCTTCTATATTCGATTTGTATTTTTTATTCTAACATTAAAATAAAGTTATAATTAATCAAAGACAATATCTTTTCTTTATCTTATATTATACATTGTCTTTCGACATTTTTGTCTATTGACATTTTTATTTTCGACATTTTCATTTTCGACATTTTGCTTTCGACATTTTAACTTTCGACCAAATTCAGGCTTACCGCTCCCGTCCACAGAGTTATTGAATTATCAGTAGCAAGATCCTTGATTAAAAACTGAAAAATATTAGGGCTATTATGAAACTATCAATAGATAGAATACTCCGTGTCGACCCTTATTAAATATCAATGTGGATAAGCAGGTAACTACTTAGCTTTAATGAGAAAAAGATGAACGTCAGTGAAACATGGAAAGGGAGCTTATGTGCTTCTCTCACTTCCCAATATGAAAACTCTGATGGCACCGAAGTTACGCTTGAAAAGATTTGTGATTGGTTGAAAATCCCACCTCAAAATATCAGATAAGATCAAACTTAGAGACAAAAAACAGCTAATAGACTGATATTTTGGCCACAAAAATAAATTGGCCGACTAATAGATATTCTAATATCTGATTAATGGAGAACACAACGGTTAAAACTTGGACTACGCGAGACCTTGATAGCTGGAATAGCTGCCTGGATGAAATCCAAGCAGCAAAAATTCTGATTGAACGAGAACAGAAATAGAGGAAAACTCTGATTGACTGAACTTCTAAAACCGAGAAACCTGATCGAACAAAAGCCTAACAGAAAAAACTTGAATGACTGGCAGTACGGCTCAGAGTATAAACCGCTTACATAGATTATCCGATGATTCAGAAATATAAGAGGCATATGACTGTACACGTAGTGCAAATAAAAAACCAACAAACAAATAGATAAATACAAACTTCTTCAACTTTTCCCGTATGACTCCTTTTTCAGTGGAGAAAAAAACATTATTTTTGTAGCAAAGATATTGTCTGACGAAAAAAAATCAAACTCAAATTTTCAAAAAATGGCAGATTTGGACTCCTCGACTCCGATTACCTTTATTCAAACTTCATAAAAAATCGATACTCTGAAGCATGTGTTCATGCGACTTTTCACATGCGCGCAAACATACAAGAATAAAAAACTATTTTATTTCATATGACCCTTCCATCAGTCGAGAGAATGATGGTTTTTTATCGATCATGTTCGAATATTTTAAATAAAAGTTTGTTTCGTATTCGAATGATGATCTATCATGTACTCTAGTCGACCTTTTATTCGACCTATGCTTCGTAAAACATTCACTGGCTGTTCTAATCATTTGAATAAGTGATTCTATAACCTTCAATTGGTTTAGTAATATTTATCTTATAAAAAGGATTTACCTTGAGTAGGTAATCGTATTGCTTTTGTATTTGTTAATATTCTTTTTTCTTACCATCTATGCACAGCAGTAGCTTTTAGCATTTCTTATTACTTATTCATCATCGAATTCGAATGGAATCGTTATTCATTCTTTATATTTTTTAACTACTAATCGTCAAAAGAAATCGACAAACCAGGGAATGTGTACAGTGAACTCATATCAGAAGAACAAATACAATTACTTCTGCTTTCTTTTCTCCTTTCTTTTTCAACAAGGTATACTTAAAATCTTCCTGCATACCATGCCACAAAAAAAAAAATTTTTTTACTTTTCACATGAGCACTACTATATAACCAAATAAGCATAGTCCACTTTTTTTACGTTACTGCTAAGGGAAGGATACAACACATATTCATTACTGTTCGTTATTACAATCGCGAAGAAAATTTTTTTCTAATCATATCAACGAATCTTTATCTGCTTTCTAGTTTAACCGACAATGTCAAGCGATCGTTCATTTCAATGTAATGCCTCAGTAAAGGCTATCGATCGCATTGGAGCACAACCAGATGGAGAACGTCAACAATTCATTATCGATACATTTGTTGAATACTTTGGCGATGGAATCCGAAGTAATCCAACAGCATTTCGTGGTCGATTCCGAAAAATGGCTGCGTCAGCTTTTAATTTCTATCGTGGTTCAGCTCTCTTGTTCTACCAGGACTTGAAAATTGATCAAGATCCATGGATTTATGCTCATCCAGCAGCTGGCAAAATTTTCATTCACGTAAGAAGTATTAATAAGGAGAAATCAATAGCTAACTTTTATGTTTCTATTTTGATTAATCAGGGTGATTTACATGCTGAAAACTTCGGTTCTTACCTCGATAATCATGGAATTTTAAATTTTGATGTGAATGACTTTGATGAAGGCTACTGTGGACCATTCACATGGGATGTTAAACGTTTATTGGCGTCGCTGAATTTGGTGGCTTACAGCAAGGGTTTTTCTGATTTAGAAATCCAACGTATTTTGACAACATGCGTCGAACAGTATTTGAAGCAAGTCTATGAATTTTGCAAACACGCCAAAGATCAGTTTGCATTAACACGAAAAAATACTACGGGCAAAATAAAGAAATTGCTCAATGAAACTCGAATCAAATCACGCGTTAATCTCCTTGATTCGATGACAGTTATTGAAGACTATGAGCGAAAATTTATTCGATCAAAAACTATGACAGATGTTGATGGGAACATGCGAGCTGAAATTATGAAGGTTAGCAACTGGAGAGAACAGCACGTAGAAAATGATGAATATATTTATTTATTTAGGCTTTCAAGAAATATCTGGAATCGGTTCCAGAGAGTAAAAAGGAAAGTGATGGCGACCAAAGCGGTCTCTCCTACAATGTTAAAGATATTGTAGCACGTTCATCACCTGGCATTGGTTCGGCAGGAAAAATTTCCTATTCGATTTTGGTCGAAGGTCAATCTGAAACACTCGAAAATGACGTTATTCTTTATATGAAACCCGCCCAGAAATCAGCTATCAGCTATGTTATTCGAAATCCGGAATTGGAAAAGCTTTTTCAGCATGATGGTCTTCGTACTGTTTTGTGTTCATATGCTATGCAAGCTTCAACACCTAAATGGTTGGGTTATACAACACTTGGAACAGTACCATGTCTTGTCGATGAAGTTACACCACACTCAGAAGACCTTGATTGGAATGATGTCAACGATTTAAACGACGTTCTCGAAGTTGTGAAATATTTGGGACAAGCAACAGGTATGATTTGAGACATTTCTAATAGATAAGTTGATTTTGCTGCATTGTCATTTTTCAGCTAAGATTCATTGTGTAGCTGATGCTGATTGTGTGAATACACCCAAAGATGTTGCTTGTTTACCATTTTCGATTATTCCATTAGAAACAGAAAAGACTATTCAAGATGCTATTCAAGGACGTGATCAGCAATTCGTAGACGATATGGTTGAATTTGGCAGGGTACGTTTTTACTGATTTCTCTCTTCTAATGTTATTTCATGTATATTACAGGTGTATGGTGCACAAGTTCGCCGTGATCATCATCTCTTCTTCGAAGCTTTTCGTAACAATCGTATTCCAGGACTGTGAAAAATATGATTTTAATTTTTACTTTCCATATGGTAGAATAGTGAGCATGAATCATTGAATGTTATCTTTGTCACAGTCATGTTTTATATTAGTTATTACATTTCTTTCATCCTCCTACATATTGACGTTTTAATATCAAATTGATAGCTTTATATTTTATCATCTTTATATGCTTGAATAAACTATCAATCTTTTAGCACATTCTCGTATTTAAATAAATGAAAAATCATTGCTTCTGATTCCCTATCATTTTATCTGGAAGGGCAAACTTTGATGTATGGTGGCGACGTCCATTAGATACATTTCACCATATGACGTTATCAATTGAGAGAATTACAGCAATGGACGTAACTAATGATCGAGACTAATTGATTCTATATTAAATTTGCGAGGTGCACCAAATTCAAAAATCGAGCAAAAAATATTTTTCATTGATGTATACATAATTCGACAGTCCTTAATCAGATGATTCGAAATCTATATTTTCTTATTTTTTTTTCAATGGAACATTGACTAAGAAATCCTCGAAAAACTAGACAGCTAGTTCGGCTAACAGATAACCAGCATAATTAAAGTTAAGCACTCAAATTCTCAGAAACAAAACAGCCGGCCCTGCCTATTTAAAATTTTCATGTACGTTTGTATATGTATTATGTGGATTTATGTCATTTATTTTTAACTATTATGAGAATATTCGATTGTTACTAGGCAAAATCAAGATTCTTCTGTGTAAAAATCGCTTGAAAAGCCTCTTTTATCGTTTATCATATCCCAAACAAACTACTTCATCTCGGACAAAACTAAAACATTTTTGACATGAAAACAATATTAGTAGCTTAAAATAAAAATAAAAATGGGTATACAAACACAATCGTCAAATTGATGCAGTGTTACACACATGAGAACTAGATAATGCGTAAAGAAACCTCTGCGGTTGTGTCTCACGTTTATAAGTTATTCGTCTTTTTCAATTTTTTGAACTTTTTTTAGCAGAGACTGACCGAGACTTTGTCACATTTCGCTGTCATCTGTTTACTTGGCTATACACAAAGAGATATTATACCAAGCTGAGTAGTTCCCAATGAAAGTTTCGTAGAGCCTCTAGGGTTCTTAAACAAAACATGACTTTTGTCAGGGATCTTCAGTCTCAGAACATGCGTGGGGTTAACAAGAAAACTTTCCAAGTGATGAAAAAGCATTTTAAGCTCAAATGTTTTCCAGAAGTAGGAGATGTATAGACTAGAAAAAGTTCAAGAGAATATGGGCGCATGTTGAGATTTGGCTCAGATATCGATTCTTTAGAATCGGTATAATGTTTTTTTCTGTAATTGAATAATTGTTTGCCAATCCACTTATCTTGAATAACAAATGATAGGTTGCCAATGGCTAGACATTTCTTGATACCTTACACGTAACTGTAGTGATATTTATCGAATGTATATGTTGTCACTTTTAATAATGGTCATTGATTCGCAAAGGACCTATAGATTGAATATGAAAAGGAATATTGTGGACCACTAAGGCCATCGTAACTAAGTATTTGATGATATTGTTCACGGTGTAAAAAGGTACGACAATATTGTATGTTGAATTGTTTTTCAACATTACAGAAATTGATTTGATTAATCAAGTCATTTGAAAATAGACCAAATGCTACAACATTTTTCAATTGATTACAAACATTGTTCGAGGGTGTGGATGTGGATGGATTTACAGAGATTAAAAATGATTCAAGCTTGTCATATGACATGTGGATGTTGATGAGGAGGTGATTCACACTCACACTCGCACCCGTAGTCACTCTTCTAGCCTTTTCTCAAAAGCTGACCTTCTGAAAGCAAAAGGTGCTTTCTTGTGTACAAAATTTTATCAAAACTTGGCTTGTTCCACGAAATTTCTCAACTTTGTTGAGCATATTTTAACTTAATATATGCTTGAAAACTAGGCCGCAAAGAAAATGAAAACAACGACAATAAGTCTTTCTAGGCTACAATGTCTTCTGTAAAATAAAGCGCTACGTTTAAACTTTTTCAGTCGAGCTGCCTGAATGCCATTGGTAGCACAATACACATCGAACATGTACGTTATGTATATAACTACTAAGATTATCCTCGCTTCTATGAAAAATGAGATATGATGCTGATCTATCTTTTATGCAAAAACTAGTTATGTCTAAGATTAGCACAAAATTTCATTTCGGTATGATTTTTTTATTAACGACAAAATTATGCAAATTATTAATAGCCATTATTATTTTACTCATTTTTTTTTGTTTCTTCGTCCTTTTCAGAAATTGCTTCTTCAACAAAAAGAAGACACTAATAACCTCGAAAAATGGCATAAAAGTTTTTAGAAAAAAACATGATGTGTTATCTATGTATAGTCTTTTCAGATGACTAGTTCCAAAAATACGTTTTGAGAACCGATATTATAGTTATTCTTTTCGTTTTTATCAATCATAATCTATGACTTCTACTTTAACACGAGATCCTAGACGATGTGGGTGCAAGCGAAGGTATTCAGTGTGAATTTTTGCGTTTTTTGTGTAATCCAGATTTCGGATGACACGTATACTAATCCTTTAGAAGCGAATTCTAGGTTTCCTCTGTGTCTCTTGGTTAGCACAGTAGCCGCGTACTATGAATTTGGATGTTTGTTGCCTGTGCACCCTTCCTTGGGATCTCTATAATCGAGAGTGCGTGGCACGGACGTGTAGCCATATATGATGGTTTCGTTTGGATTTTGCCTTACGGTCTCTTCTACCGGGTTTTTTTGGATGCTAGCTTGAAGTTGGCTCTGTAGATCTACGAAAATGTGGTAGTGTTGAGTACGCCAATCGTTTCAGCCAGATTGGTGTAGCAGATGTTGCTTGCATTTGTTTTGATCAAAATCTTCACTTTTTAAAGATATATCAATGTTGTAGAATCTGGATACCCGAGTTTCACATATTATGACATCCTTCTTCAAGTAAGATTCCATGATAATTCTATCTCTCTCCATTGGATTGATTAGATCTTATGAACAAACCTTCAGTTAGAGTCATGTGCTTCTCAAAGTCGTTATCATTTAATTTTATTAGGTATTGTTTTGCGATATCTGGAAAATGGTTCATGTTCGTTAAGTTTTTCGTTCGTTACATGCAAATGAAACACAACACAAGCGTGACTACACATTTTTTCTTATAGCACAATTGAGCACAAAATAAAACAAAAAAGAAAAATAACAGGCACTTTATTGTTATTTTCTTTAATGAACACCACCATCCGTTGATGATAATGAACTACTCGATGATGATGACGAGGAAGAATCTGTTGAAGAACTACGCCTTTTTTCATCACCATGAGGCGCACTAATAAAAACAAACAGGAAAAAAAAACGAAACGTTTATATAAATAAAAATTTTTAATAGCTAACCATTTTTCTTGTGAATAATTTTCATTTGTAACAAATAACTCTTCAATTGGAAGAATACTGTCAGCTGATTTTAACTCTTGATCAACAAGTTTAACTAAAACTCTACAAAAATCATGACCAATCATTTGTAATGTTGATATTTGTATTTGTAATCCCTAAAATCATTGTGTTTTGACAAAATAATGTCTTTTTCGTTAAGAAACAAACTTTATATAATCCAACATCAAAACCATTATATGTTGCTTCCATTGTATAAGCCAAATCAATTTTAAATTCATCCCAAACAACAATACGAGCACAGCCTTCTTTTTGTTTTCGCATTGAAAATAAACAACTTTGTAATGCAAAACCTTGTATATCCGCAAATAGTTTTGGAAATAGTTTTGTTATCGTTGAACGATCATAAGCTGGACCAAGAAAATGAAGACGAGGATCATTACCATAGAAGAAAAAATTTTTCTGTCGCGAATGTCCATGAAAATCACAAAAAACCTAAAAAGAAAATGAACATTTAGAATAAAATGGATAAGTTGAATTCATTGTTTTTATATTATACTGTTATCGGTCGAGAACAGCACATAGACAAATAGGCTATTAAACCTTTAGCATGATAAATTGTCGGAAATAATGTAGAATTAGGAGACGACCATTGACGATTGAGATCTTTGGTAGCTAATGAACAACGTTGACTAAAAAACGAAATGAAGTTTTTCTTTTTGTTGAAGTTAACAAAATTAACAAAACAATCAAACTACAAGCTACATTTTCATATTGGCGGATCGACATAGTTAGATTTTAATGAAACTATTACAAGTTTAGGAAAGTTCATGTATTTTTTTAAAGTTATTGTTAATAAATACCTCGCTATGGATTAATATTACAGCCAAATATGATTCTAGTTCCAACATAAAAAACAGTGATTCATAAACGATAGGTTATCGAAATCATTTAAAGCCTTAGATAGTATAGAAAACATTCTAGCTATATAATAGAAAAGTATTTTGTTCTGAAGGATCTTTTTGTCTTTTTCTTGTTATTCTCATTCATCATATCTGACACTGAGATTCATAGTAAAATTATTTAAAAACTCACCATCCATTAATAACACCATCTGGATTAAGCATTGGAATGATCTAAATATCCAAACATCTATTTCTATTGCACATGTTTATTAATAAACATTTACTTTAAAAATAAATCGATCTCGTAGAATTCGTGCTGTTGGTTCATCACTCAATAAATAATCAATAATTCCTTTCATAATCCATGATGCATTTGATTCACCTGGATGAACACGTGCTGTTAATATAACATATGATCTTTCATCTTAAATTATAAAATTCATACATATATGATTTTATTCTAGAAAATTTTCAATTAATTATTTACGTAATGAAATTGTTTGTTTTTCATTTTGATATAAATCATTTTGATTATAAAAACTAGTTATTGTTAATAAAGGACAATCATTTCCAGATAATGTTTTACAAAGTACTTGTTGACGAAAATAAATACTTGCTCGATCATATGTATTTGACCAATTAACTAAATCTGTCTAAATTTTAATCAAAAAAAAGAAACTCTAAAAGTTATTCGTTCGATTAATTTACCATTAATGTTGTATATGTATATGGATAATGATAGGCTATATAACAAATATCATTAGCATGTGCAAACCGTATATTAAATGTTAATGTATAATAGATTTTCTTTTTTTTACCATATGTATTTTTATAATAAGAAATTTTTTCACCTATCCGACGCCAATATGATTTACCACCAAGTGCATCACAAACGCTAAACATAACTGGTTGCATACCAGCATTAAATTGACTATTAAGTTTTTCAAAATTAATTATATTAAAACGATATGTTATGTCAGGACGCATATTTGATACTTCAAAATAGAACCATTGATGATAACGAAATGTATTTATATCAGGTCGAAGGATAAGATCATATTCCTCTTCGGTAATCTATTATAGAAAAATAAATAAGAAAAAAAAATGAAAGATAGCAGTTCTTTTGTTTTTTTTTTCTTTTTACTTGAATTGCTTTTCTTAAATTGCCACATTCAAATTGAGAATCAAATAGAAGATGATCAGCGTTTGATCGCCTGTGACATCTGTAAAGAAAATTTATTAATAACACTTACGAAGGAACCTTTTAAGGCCACAAAAAAAGCATTTGCAACGAGACTTGTATCATTAAATGAAGCCTACTGAGAATAAACTAAATCTATCATCGCTCATCCTTTCCATATTGCTTTCTTCTTAATGGATGAACATTTTTCGGAGTTTCTGGTGTAACAAAGAATTCTTATGGTCTTTATCATGCATTGAGAGTTTTAGCGAGAACGAATACTTTCTTTCTGAGATGATAGATTCTTAGTCAATGAACATAGTTTAGAAAAGAGTTGCAAATATCTAGTGTTCTCGTAAAAATTTTCATCTTAAGAACAAAACATTCATTATAGCTAAAAGTTTTAGCGTATACTAAAGATCAGGAGAAACTTTATAGCCAAAACTTCAGGCTGCAATAGCATCATCAGACTTTCATGATATACTCTAATCTAGGTCAGAAACTTACGATGCAGGAACCTCAACTGTTTAGTAGATTTTTGACTTCGTCTTTTGGATATAAGTAGGTTACAGTGATACTACGACAACCACAAAAGTGTTCGTACTCATGATTCTTCCCTTTTGAAATACGATTAAATCCTTGTCAAAAAAAAATAACCTTTTTATTATTTTTTTTGTTGCTTATATCTAAAAGGAAAATGTTGGAGATTAATTGATTTACTAGTAAATGTTCCGTGTTTCATAATTTAGTTTGGTCAATATTTGAAATTCAGATATCTTAGTGTTCGTGATCAAGTTTCTTGAATAGTTAGATTTGCAGAGACACGATTTAAAAAATAATAATAAAAAGTTTATTGTTTGTTGCACAGGTTCTATATTATCTTGAGATGAAAGCGTCATGGACATGAATGCTTTAGTGGTTTTCATAGTCTCACTGAAACCTACTTCTAGCCAAAAGATAAAATCAAAAAATTTTAAATAATTGAGGCACGTCGATTATCTATAAAATGTTCATAGATTGACAAGAAAGCAATACGAGGAAAGAATTTATTATAGGGTTTTATTTAATCTCAATAGACTCCCATGAAGCTTTTAATATGTTATTTTTTGCTGAATGAAAAACAATTACTAAATTTTGATTTTTATAGATGTAATAGAATGAACTACTAGTGAAAAAAATAACGCAAAAAATCTTTTAATTTTTTATGCATTTCATTATTGATTTAGATACGTATGTTACTCAAACTGGTTTAACTATATGATAAATTTTTATTTATATTTCTACCTTTGTTCATCATCATTATTTAATGTCGTTGTTGTTGAATTATCAACAATTGTATCAAAATCGTATACGGTTCGATTATAAATCGATGGTGGATAAAGAATTCGACGAATATCAGCAAGTAATGTTGTTCTGTAAAAATAGAAAATGACTTTCAACATGATAAGAGAAATGATTTCTATAATCTTACCGACTGCTTCGCTCATCAGATTTTTGCATTGGTTCAAATCTCGGATAAGATACAGCATTAAAAGCATCAGGATATGCAAGTTTAGTAAATCTAAAGAAAGATATTATTCGTAGTTTTTTTTATATTTCTTAAGATCTATTTGTATTCTATACTGATAGGCACTTCTAGTAGATTTAGCAAGCATTGAATAAGTTTGAAAATATAAATCTGATGGCATACGCCAATAAGAAAATCTCGATTGAGCTGTTAGTGGTGTCAACGATGCTGGTAAAATATTTCGAAATAATCTTGATAATAAGCTGTCTGTGTGTGGATCAATAATGGTTTGTACCATTTTCAATCGAAGCTATAAGAAATCATATAGAACAAAAAATCGTTATGAAAAATAAGCTCTCATTAGCATACCATATAAATAGGATCAATCGTTTCATCAAAAAATTGTTCATATGCTCGAGACAAATCAACTGAATCACGCTAAAATAAGTACAAAATAAAAAAAATAACCTTATCGAAATAATCATAAAATACGTACTATTGGTTCTTCACCATTTGGTAATGGAATTGAGGAACTCGACAGATTTTCTTTATTAGAACCTTCATCTTCCTCATCGTCGTCTTCTTCAGCATCGTCATCTGATTTTGAACTATCTATCCAAGAAAACAAAAACCATAAAAAACTTGTTTCATTCTCACAAATTCAATGTAGAAATGATACAGTTTGAATAGATATTGGCAATTTGAAAGGCACGTAAAGAATAGCATAGTTTTTTGTGTAATTCAAAGCACTTTTCTTTATAAATAAGTGCGATTCAACAAAGAAAACAATTATAAGAATTAAAAATTTACAATTTGAAGTTAAAACAACTTTTAGAATCATTTATACTGTGACTCCAATGCTGAATTTCTTCAACTATAGGAAATTGATTTAGATTCAAATTCGAACGATTTATTTAAATCAAAATACAATGCCAATCTTGAAATCAATACCGAAGAATTATAATTTCTTAAAGAGCTAAGCTACAAAAGTTTGACTTATATTCTTTTATATAGAAACAAAAATAACATGGATTATTTCTAATTTGTTTATCGAAAACTTCATATTTGATTAAATATCTCGCTATATTTACAAACAAAGAATTCTATCAATGTATTCGACACAAGGGATTTTTATATAGTATACCTTACGCATTTATCTTTTTGAACTATTAGGATTTCCTAAAGGAAATTAACTTGTCTTGCACAAATCCCAAGATTATTTGATTCAATAAAAACAAGAAAGAACAATAATGAATAATGTAATATTCGAAACAGAGATCGTTACAAAGTGCTCTCAAAGTATATAAACTTAGGTCGACCATGGAATGGATTAGATTGGTAAGCTGACGAAAAAATTTGATTATATTTTATGCTAACTGCTCATATACCTTTTTTATGTCATTTTAATTTATTCTTGATGAAGAAATAATCCTTTTTAGTTCAATATCTTGCTTTTTTTTAGCATAGATACATGATACTAGTAACATCTTCATAAAAAAAAAACAAGATATTTTCGTCGATGAAAACAGGAACCATTTCTCACTGAGTATCATTATTTAATTGAGTGAAAATCTTTCATCATCTTTGAGCAGTCAGGCGAGATTTATTTATTTTTATTATTTACGAGACGTGCTTATAATTTGATAACAGATGCTGAATCTTCTTCAAATTGAAAGAGCTCGCATTGAACGATGATAAATTAGAATAAGTATCACATACATAAGTTCTAATGAAACTATCATTAGTTAGTGGAATTATATCGATGACATATGTTCTGAAAGATTCATGTTTATATTTAGTAAACGATTGCAAATGACTTTTGATGAAAAAACGTTAGCAGAGCAAACTACTTAGCTCTGTCTTGATGACGGTCTCTGATTCAGTATAAGTTTTAATTCTTACCTTCATCATCAAGTTCTTCATCTTCAACAAGACGAATACCAGTTTCTTCTACATCATCAATACCATTAGTATCTAATCTTGATACTTGACGATATTTATTTCCATTTGTATTCGATTTTTTCTTTGATAATGTTTTTTGTTCAACTTTTTTCTTTTCTAATTTTGTTCCTTTCAAAGATTTTGGTCGACATGATGTCGTTGTTGTAGATTTTGATGCTGATGATGCTCTTGTTGTTGATGAACTCATTGATGATTTTGGTCGAACACGTTGTTCAGTATTAGAATTTCGTTCATTTGATGGCACAGCTGATTTACATTTTTCGCGCATATCATCAAGATCTTTTATTATCTGAGGATCTAAATAAATTTATTTCAAAATTATAAATTCAAAAAGAAAAAGAAACAAATCTATTCATACCAGCACTAAGTAATTCATTAGAAACAATATAATCGTAACCATGTGGTAAAAAATATCTTACTGGACTAAATATTGTATCAATTGGTAATTGCTGTTTTGGACAACAATGAAGCATAACTTGACAAGAAAGATCAAGAAACGTACAAAAATTATCATTTGGTAAAACATTCATTGCTAATTCATATAATAAATAAAAACCATTAGCTTCCAAAAATTGAACACGACCAGTTTCTGAATATTTTTTGAAAATTAACATTATCAAACAAAAAAAAAACACAAGTAAGAAATCTTATTCAAAAGAAACGTACTTGATTTAACTAAATTTAAGAGCACTTTAAGAAGGCCTTCTTTTATTTTAATTGTTCGTAAACGATTTTGTCCTTGGGATTTATCCATTAGAAAAACTACAGCTAATATATCACGAACAATCGTTGTTGATGTTGCACGACTAGCTAGTTTTTCTTTCAAGAAAACAAAATATAACTTTGTTTTTTTACATTTCAACTTACTAGTTTGAGTAAGATATCGAACAACCGTAATAGATAATTTTTGTAATTTAGCATGACGTCGATCAAGTGTTAATGCGAGACGAAGTAAAGGTTGCAAACCAGATGCTCGACATATCGAAGACGCAGTTATTGCTGTTTAAAGAAATCGTTTAACTAAAACTTTAGTTCTGATTAAATGAAAATTTACCATTTTTTGCATAGATTTTTAGAAGAGTTAAAAGAACTGGACAAACTTTTGCATTATAACTATATATGCGTAACAATCCAATTGTACATGCTATTGTTTTAAATAGACGAGCTTTTAAAGCAAGACGTTTATCTATGAGAACAGATTAAAAGAAATGATTTTAATCGATAATTAACAAACCATGATGACCAATAACAGCTAAAATTTGATGAATTTGAAGTGAAACATCTTGACCCAAGCCACGGTCTTCGGATACACTGCGAAGAGTGTGTAATAAAAAACTACATACATCATTTTTTATTAAAGCTTTCACCAATGGTCGAGAAAATTCTGTAAAAGAAAAACAAAACAAGACAAAAAAAAAGCATTATCATCAATATGCATCATCACAACAAACTTAAATTGTCAATATTAGTTCTAGTGTATAATTGACTGACAATAATCGTAACAGTCACAATAGATAAGAAATGATGTATATATTCTTGACAGGTTTTTGTTGACTAAACGATCATAGTACTTCCAGTACATATATACATATACTTTTATTATTATCCTAACGCGTTTATTGTTAAGTAATGGAACAAGCATCTGTAACATATACTATTATATATTCTTAAAGCTGTGATAAAATCGCGATAAAGATCAAATATAGAACGACAGAAATGTCTCATTCAAAATATATATCAAGAATTATCTTTGATTTTTATTTTTAGAGGTTTTTCAATATGAAAATTTTCCTAGTATCAAATCGATTGATCCATTAAAATAAAACAAAAAAAAATTGTGTCTCATAAAAATGTTTTCTTTTTACTTAGTAAATGTTAATACACAATAGGAAATAATATGATGAATGTCATTCGACTGTAAATCAACTAGATAGTTTCCGGTTATTTATTTTGCAAAAAAAAAAATGGTCTTCATTGTTTGAGGCCTCGATGTAATCAAGGTCATGTCTGAATATCAAAAGTTAATTCCTCTACTTCTATCTTGGTATGTCGCTAAAAATGTAGAATATTTTGATTGATTATTCATCTATAATACATACTCTTATCACAATCAAGTATTTCTCGAACAATATTGAGTATTTGACCAAGAAATTCAAAGTCATCTGGACCATTAGACGTTGAAAGTAAAAGATCAACAATAACATTAGCATATTTTTCAATTACTTCTGCAGTTGGTTTTTCTTAAAATTATCAAAAATATCATAATTTATGTTTATATCTTTTTTAAAATAAGAATTACCTGCATAAAAATATTGATTAATTTTTCGAACAGCATAACGAATATCTTCTTTATTATCTGATGTTGATGTTTTATCTCGTGCTAATGCTTGACCAATACGTGTAAACCATGAATCAATTCTATGTAAGCAAAAAATAAACATATACGCGCTTATTTTAGTTCTATTTTTTTTTTGTTATATATATATATATCAATTATAAAATCATGCGAATGCTAATCTATGTTTTTATTGTGTATCTTATTTTTATTAATATTTTTCAAATAACATCTGCATTTTATTTACTCGATATAATACGTCGAGCTGTGGGTATCACTAATGAATCAAACAAATATCAAGAACAATATTAAATATACTCATCAATAATTCAATATGATTTTAAAACCGAACCAGTCTCTCAAAAAAATTATTTTTCTAACGATTTTGATACTTCACATAAAACATATTTAAGATCAATCGATGATGATTTATGTTGTTATTGTTCATAAACAAAAATAAATTAATATTCTATTTAAATTTACCTATTTTGTCGTTTTATTTTAGACATGTTTTAAGTACTATGATATAAGTAATTTAGCAAATAGACAAAATACTAAAGCAAAGCGAATGCTACATACTTGATAAGAGGCATTGTGAAAGCTTCGAAAATGATAATAATAATTCGTAGACAAACAAACCGTTGAAATTCATAAACAGATAAAGATAATATAGCAATAGATATAGTGCGACAGCGAGATGAGAGCAATAATCATAATAATCTACATAGAAAATCTAGAAGATAGATAGTCAAAGGCTTATATTACTTTAACAACAACAAAAATAGTGTGGTACAGATAATGACGTCACACATAGACAAAGAACGATACTTTCTTTTCTCTTTGCAGGCGTCAATAAGATTAAGGGACCTAAAGACAAAGTCTGGGTACCAGTGGTAGAATATCATTATGCATTTGTGTCCTGTTCTAAACACATGCCAACAAATAATGGATAAAAACAAATAACATACATTCTTTGTCTTTGATAAATGTCTACGATAGGCTTCATTTTCTATTTTGTTTTCTTCTACTAGAATATACAACAACAAAAACAATAAAAAAAAAGAAATGCATAGATCAAGTAATACAATCATCAAGTGCATTGTATTCATACAACATGATTCAACTTTTCTCTATTCTTTTTTTTTTTTTCTCATTATAAAAAAATCATGCCATAAAATATCTATTCATTAAAAATAAATATCGTTCGTTAATAAACATTATTCAAATATTTCAAATAATACTCAAAAGCGAAAGTGTACATTGGTTAAAAAAGAAAAAAATTCCCACAAGCTGTGTTTTTTTTAAATCTCGAAACACACAAAAGAATGTCTAGCAATAATAATTGTGCGAAATCTTTAAAATATGCATATAACTGATCCCTAGAACTTGTTTAATGCATTTACATATATGTCAAATAAAATTAACGAAGGGGAGATATCCAAATCTAGGTCATCTTATCTATAACTGATAATTATTTGATGATAACAAAAAAAGGGGGAAAAAAACAATTTTTAATTCATTACAAACGATAATAAAAAAGTCCATTCTTCAAAATTCACTAAAAAAACAAACAAATCACAACAGGTTCATTTAACTAGAAATTACTGCAAAAAATATTAATAAAATATCATTTTTGTCGTTAAGTATACCCTCTTGTTTCCTAGTAAATCGAACTCTATCACATTTTCTCCACCTCATTTGATTGGCTTTGCCGTATTACCAATGAACAAGTCTATGTCAGCTGACAAAAAATTTCTTTTCCTTGTTTTTATTGACAGACGAACATTGATTGTTGTCTACATCATTTATATCTCATTCACTACTTGTTAGATAAATATATTAAAACATAAAAACAAAATATGCCAATACCAATCGAGAAAATTCAAGTAATCGAAGATAAAATAGCACGAGAGCACGAAAGTGACGATGAAAATGAAGCTAATCATAATGATATTCGTCATACAACAGCAATGACACCACCGGATCAAGATTTTTCATTTTTAAAAAATCCATCACAAACAAAGCGTTCTGTTCATTATGATATTGAACAAATGGATAGACATGAACGTCAACCATTAAGAACGCTACATGAAAATGAACAATCATTTGATAATGTTCTACGTCGACGATATATTGCGCATTGGGGTTTACCAGGTTAGTTAATGTATTATTAACTCTTTGAATACGAGATTGTTTTTATGCAGTAAAAATTTTTATAATTTCAAATTAACATTTATTTTGCAAAAAATATCATGAAATACATGATTCAAAATACTTTTAGAGTGCAATAGTCTTTAAAACGATCCATAAAACACAATCCTACATCACATTCAATACATTCATATGAAGTATATCTTCTTGACTTGGCTCTTCTCACAGCATTAGCACAAATGTAACATTTTCTTCTTGGATTTATTTGAATTGCTGTTGATGCATTGCGCGAAGAGAAATGCTGTGCTGTGAGTCGGAGTGGTCTTTCAGAAGTTGGTCGACTTTTGTCATTCGTGACCTTTTATGTCTAAAAATGTACTTTGTATGATTTATCACCCACGATCAACTGATCAGGATATTTCCTATAGATGGTGCTCTTGAACGATTTTCGTAACGCAAAAGATCCTTTCGAGAATGATGGCTCTTTCTCAAGAAATGTTATCAAATTGGCTCATGTTCTAACTCATTAAAACAGGTAATAATTGCCAGAAATATTAAGGAACAACCAATAATCATCACTAACTATGGATAATCTTAACCGTACAAATATCCTAAATGCAAATATTCATACAATTTATGTCATGAAATAATCAACAAATCGTGTTTTTTCAAGTTATTCAGGTCCCAAAACGCGAATTCGCGTGATCCATACTTAATGGGTTAAAACATGTCAATACAAAGTTTAATGTAAATTTTATACATTGAAAAGAATATCTCAAGAACATATTTTAAACCGAAAGAAAGAATGTCATGATCTTTTCTTTGCTTATCTATGTTTGATGCCAAAAAAATTTTGACACATTAATTATTTTGTCTAGAAAATATGTTGTTGTTTGTTTTAAAGAATGTCATTGACGTCATTGGAAAATTTAATTAGAGATTATACATTTTTTAAAAATATCTGAAACTCTTTGTTTTATGATTTTCTTTGATTAAAATAGAATGGCTTGGTGATAATCATTTTCTCTTACAAAAACATCGTCCACCAGCTAATTCTGTTCGTGAATGTCTTATATCTATAGCATCAATACATAGTGAAACAGTTAATATTTGGACACATTTAATTGGTGCATTATGTGTTGCTGTTACATTTATACTATTTCTTATTGATAATCATCGACAAATGGATTTAAGTGATTATATATCATTTAGTGTTTTTTTTATAGCAGCTATACTATGTTTAACATTTTCTACTTTACTTCATGTATTTATTAATTATTCACCACGTGTCATGGTTATTGTTTCTAAACTTGATTATATGGGTAAGAAAAGAAAGAATTTTAGGAGTGCAAAAAAATAATTAATTGAAAAGAATTCATTTCTATTACATCAAGTATCTTTAAAAAGAAATTTAATAAATCATATCTTTTATTTCTAATCATGCAATTATAAGTATACTATTTTTATTCTAGTAAATATTGAAATAATATCGAAAAGATTGATTATACAGATTTCTAAGACATAAAAAAAAAAAGATTGTTATCATTCAGCTAATAATAGAATCTTTAAATATTTATTCAATGTCTTGAATAACAACAGAAAAAACAAAATGATTGATTGTTCTTAAGAAATAAGATCTGTTTTTCTATATTCTATATTATTTACATAAAAATTTTTCTAAATAATCAATCAATAAATTGATTATTAAAATTTGAATAATGTTTAATTATTATCTTTTTTAGGGATTAGCATTTTAATATTTGGTTCCATGATTCCAGTGATTCATTACTTATTTTATTGTTATTTGAAACTTAAAACAATATATATTGGGGTTTTACTTGGACTTTCTATTGCTTCAATAATTGGTACAAGTAGTGCGGCATGTGCAAAACCACGATGTCGTCCATTTAAAGCTATTTTATTCATTGCTTTAGGTCTTTATGGTATGTAGAAATAGAATTTCTTTTTTGTTTAATTATCATTATTATTACTTTTTTTTTTTATTTAGGTGCCGCTCCAGCAACTCATGCATGTATTCTTCACGGTTTTCCACGTATGTTTCAAATGGGATTTTTATATCTTTGTATTATGGCTGTAACCTATATTGCTGGCGGTGTTATTTATGCCGTTCGAGTACCAGAACGATTTTTTCCAGGTAATTATAAAAAGAAAATATGTATATAAACGTTTTATTTTTATTTATTTAAGGGCGTTTCGATATTGTCGGACAAAGCCATCAAATTTTACATATTGCAGTTATTGTTGCTGTTTATTTACACTTTTATGGAATTTGTTGTTTATTTCATACTGTTATTCGAACAGAACAATGTCTTATGCCAATAACATTAAAACTTGGTGTCACTGATTTATCTGTTTCGTCTACTTCAGTAGAATAAATTTATTTGTATAGAGAAAAAAAATCAACAAAAGAAAAATTACAAAATTTTTGTGATTCTATTCTACTGTGTAGTTTTGATGTCTTTCAATCTCTTCTATTTATATTTTTCGCGTCTAATTCATTTGGTTCGTTTGTTTGTTTGTTTTTTAAATATGATGACTTCATTATATTAAGTTTTTATAAGATCATTGCTTAATAAAGCATCACCAATGACCGCCATATATGGTTCAATTGTATATTTTGTGACAATACCATTACTAACATAAGGATCTTGTTTTGCCAATTGTTCTATATCATTTACTGATAAGTTACGTAAAATAATTAAAGCTCCTGTTGGTGGATTACCGTAGGCACCACCTAAAATAAGATTTCCTTTTTCAAGTTGTTTACCCATATGAGCCAAATGAGCTTCACGATATGGTTTACGTTTTTCAATTACATTAGCTACATAATCATATTGTAACATATACAGTTTTGGTTGAGGCATTCCGGTCGATGATGTTGAGGCCATTCTCAATCTACAAATATAATTCTTACCAATGATACGTCGAGCAATTAGAGATGTCCACATATATATATATTTTTCTCTAGAATAGTCAAGTATGTTTTTTCCTGTATTGATGTTTTTTCTTTTCTCTTTTTTTTTTTTTTAAGAAACGAAAAAAAAAAAGTAACGTTCAATCACACATCTCAACATTATTTTTGTTTTCTTCAAATACATACATGTATAGAGAGAAGACATTTTTTAAAAATGAATAAACACATAGAATGACACGTACATAGATTACTTATGAGAATAAGAAGGACATGATGGCACACAGTCTTAACACAAGATTGATTGACCAGAACAAGAAGAAAATGTTAACTTTACAATAGGAGAAAACTAAAACGATATAGGTGACTTATAATATTATCTATTGCTTATGTCATCGAAACATGAGATTCACTTGTTATAATAAAATACATAAATATACGTGTATACGAATGTTTTTATTGTTGGCTTTTTATTAATACTCCAGGTGCACGTTCAATACGAATACTTGTAAATCCTTTTGATTTTTCATCGACATTCCGTGGTTGTCGAATAATAATTAATTTTTGACGTTTATTCTCATCGAAATTAATTGATTTAAGTTTTGTAATTAATCGATCAGGTCGTTGAAGATTACTGAAAGAAAGAAAAAAAGAACATATGTATATATTCTTAGAAACAAAAAGTTGTAGTCAGTATTTTAAATATATCTTCAGTAAAAAACTAATCCTGTGAAAGAGCTATCATATATATGATTACAATGAAGACGATTTTGTCTTAAGATTTTTCATAAACTATTTCTTTTTTGTTTTGATTAAAACCTTTTTTTGAAGAATATCCTTTTAGAAAAATGAATAATAAATCCAGATAACGCGTTGAAACTCTCTAATATCCTGTATTTTGTCAAGCTTAACTTAATATTGTTTGCAGGCAAATTAATATCAAATCTTTTTTTTATGAACCCTCTTTCAATCTTAGCAGAGAATTTTGTAAAACACGATTTAATAGTAATATTGAGGTATAGGAGAATATATGCTGACCTAATCCGTCTTCGTTGCATATCGCTTCGGACTTTGTTAATTTATAATCACAGACAATGCATCATTAAAGTGCTATTCTAATATATGACCTACTTCCTTCTTGCATTTCCGCAGGATTAAATAAGATTCTGATGAAGAAATGTGTCTCAAAATAGATTCAATGAAGCAATCATCCTATTATTAACAACAACAGCTACATCGTGTTTCATATTTTAATCCCATAGGCATTGCGATACAAGCTTTTTCTTTGTCATCTAGTAATCACATAGCTAGTATGATTAATTGCCTATCTTTCACTCATAATCTCACTATTATGGAGTACGAGGTTATATAACTACAATAGAAAAAAAAACACGTAACTGCAGAAATATAAAACAGAACTCATAGACATGTGAAGAAATAAATACAATCAAAAAACAAAATACTTGATATATTTGCCACCAAATAATGGTTAGTTGAAACTAACATAATAATGAATGTTAGAGTTTCACACACTATCTATATTTATATATACCTCTGTTAAAAAGATATTACTGTAATCGTAACATATTTTTATCAAAGCCCAAAACAAATAAGTAGGTTGTGAAAATCTGAAGACGAAAACACACTAGGCAAAGTTGTAGAGAATTTTGACTGCTATCAGTATATATGATTATTCTTTTGAAAACTTAGTTATATATGGAGATATTATTTGTTTTCATTGATACATATATATATTAATATTCATAACATATGTACTTACTTGACTCGACGTAATTTACTTGCGCATGGTTTTCCACTTTTTAAATTATATTGAGCATAAAATTCAACATCATCACCGGGTCGTAATTCAAAACCACCATCAATTTCTGAATTATGAAAAAATATTTTTTTATTTTCTTCACATGCAAAATCAATAAAACCAAACTAAAAAGCAAAAAAAAATATTTTAAAATTCTTCTTTTTATATTGATTAAATTTAAATATATTTACCTGTCCTTTAACTGTATCAATTTTTCCTTTACGCATTTCATTTTCTAAAATAATATTCACTGCACGTGTTGAATAATCAAGTCCAACAGCAACAGAAAATGTTACTGAATCATTCGGTAATAGAATCACTCGTTTATTTTTAACACCTGTTATACTATATGTATAACATTCACATGGAATACCATCCTCATTTAATTTTTGAATTCGACCAAGTATTTCACAATCATCATTTGTTATCATTCGCACAGGTGATACAACACGACCACGATGAATTGTTGGAAGTATTGACTAATAAAATAAAATAAATTCAGAAAAAATTTTGATTAAGATTTAAAACAAAATAAACTTACATAGAAATTATGAATAGTTGTTGGTACTTTAAGAGTATTTTCAGCTGTTAAACGACCAGAAATTTTTCTTAAACTAAATTCAACTTCATCTCCTAAATCGATTTGTGTAGCATCATTCGTAAATGAATTTGTTGTAAATGCAATTGGTTCAATATTATTCATTGTTTTACCATTAAATTGTTCAATAAATCCTTTTCCTTCACGAATAATTCCAATCCAACCACGAATACGATTTCGTTCAATTAATGTTACATTTGTTGCTAATTTACTATTTGATGTTAATGTAAATTCAACCTAAATACATTTATATGATATATTTTTCGAAAAAAAAATTTTTCTTTTTCATACTTTATCACCATAATATAATGTTGATGTATTACTTATATTGGTCGATGGAAATTGAATTGTAGATTCAATTCCATCACATATATATCGAATAATACCTAGTTCTTGTTGACGATTTGTTGAATTTGATATTGAATCATTATTAAGTGTTTGTTGTACTTTATTTTCAGTTGTTGATTGTCCATCATTTCCACGATTATTTCGTTCTAGAATATTAAATTTAATAATTTATTTTTTATTTTGACAAAAAAAATAAATATTTCTAACCTGTTCGTCCATCTTGTGGATCACGTTCAATAATACCTGCTATTCGTACTTCACGGCCATTTATCATAGTTAATAAACTATCTTTAGATAATAATTTAATTCGAATTGCATATGGTAAATCCTAATGAAGAAAACGAAAACAATTTTTTTATTTGTTTTTTAAAAAGATATTAATTAAAACAAACCCCATTATTCGAAGTAAAAGCTAATGAAAATTCTAATGGATCACCTTCACTTATTTGAAAATTATCTTTCATCACTTCAGTAAATCGAAATGGAATTATTTGATCCGATAAAAAACATTTAATCTGACCACCTGTTGTACTATCTAATTTAATAACAATACCCTAGTTAGAAAGAAAAATAATAGATTGTTGTTCTTGTTGTTTTTTTTTCGAAAATAAGAAAAAAGAATAATCTACCATTTCTCGATGTTCTTTTGATTTAAGAAAACTTTGATCTAGTAATGATATTTGTGTAGCACGCATCATATCATCACGTTTATCTTTAGCAATAACAAATTGAACAATATCATTTTCAAGTAATGTATATAAACCACAACGATCTCGTTCACCAAATGGTAATTCAGACATTTTACTATTGAATGAAAACTGAGTTATTTTATCAAAAAAAAAAAGAAATTTACTTGTCTGATGTGTCATAAAGTAAACGACCAGTTAATGGTTCATTTGATTTTTTTGGTTTAATTTGGAACGGTTGTAATATTCGGCCAATATATAGTGTTTTATCTAATTCATCAAATTGTACGGTACCTTTTGGTAATATAACAATGTTAATAGCCACTTCTTTATTCTAAAATAAAACGAACAAATCAATCAAATGCTTTTTACAAAAAAAAAACCGCCATTGAGCTTTGACTACATTGAAACTAGGAAACCATCTGAACTGATATCTACTGTTCGAGCTCATATTGGGTCTATCAGGACGTCTTGATTAGACTAGCGAAAACTGAAAAGACTTCGTGCCCATAGCCTTTTTGAGTCAAGTTATGACTGTATTACAGAATTTTGACGTGAAATTTTGTTCATAATAGATCGCATGACAAGTATCATATCGTGACAACTTCAGCCGAAAAGAATATTCCTTCGTCGAGATATAAAATTTCCCAACAAATAGTCGTTTGCTACAGGCATGACAAAAAAGATCGAGTTCATTTGAAAATCCAATATATCAGCAAAGAAATATTATTTTCGACTGAAATTTTCATAATATTATACCTATCGATGAACAAAAGTTTACCTTTGATTTTTCGGTATGTATCTCAAATTAGGTCGAAAATTCAATAAAACGATCCTAATCTGGCTTCAGAAGCTAGTAAGCATGAACCCTTTTAAACGTTTTTCTAGTCTCACAAAAAAATTCTTGTAGACTCAATATGAGTTCAAATAACAGGTAACAGTTTTGGATGATTTCCTTGTAAATAACAACAAACAGAAAGAAATAAGACAAGTAAATCAAGAGACTTATTGAATAGTTGCTATCGTTTTCTGAATGTAAAATTCTCTCAATATTCCTGAATAATTATATATTTATCACGGTTAATGCCTCTGATCATACCATCACATATATCCAACCCTCTGATAACTGAGTTTATTTTTTGCATGTGCTAAATACTTTCTTCTTACAATTTATCATCAAAAACCCATCTCTTGCTTTAACTATATCAGTTACTATCAACTATGCCAATCTGTTAAGATATAATGAAATTGTTTTTCATTCCTATATCTATAAGTACAAGATAGATTGACAAGATTAGAACTACATCTGTTATTGCAATGTACACAAGTACCAAGCCGAGCTGACTGTCGACTTACTTGCAGGATTCTACTAATACAAAAACAATCTTCATAGTCGTTATTTCGCCTCACTGTATGTATAATCATAAATGACTTAAAACCAACGAAAACATTCACATTTTTCTTTCATAACTAATTATTTAAAAGTAACTAATTAATAAACAAAAACTTGTTCTTTCCTTAAATCCTAGAAAATATCTTGCTTTTAAATATGTTTGAAAATATTATCATCATAAACATGACTTTCTAGCAAAAACAAAAACATTAGTGATAACAAATATTTGTAACTACTTTTTTTTCTTGACAATTTATACTGCTCTACAAATATTTAAATGAAAAATATTTTATTACAAAACAAAAAACAAAATTATCTCGATTTAGTTTCAAAACATACAGACCACTATTACGTTCTCAAAGAAAAAATCTCAAATAAACTAATCTTCCAAAAATTATAAATTATTATTATTAGTTTAGAAAAAAGACTTTCTTCTTCAACTTACATGTCTATCTTGAATATCAAATTCTACTTCTACACCTGGTTGAATTGCATTCGTTGCTACATTAGGTCCAAATTCAGTTATATGAAAAAATATTTCTTTAAGTGCATCTTCTCGTTCAATAAAACCAAAACTATCTTTCATTGTTGATATAACACCACGATAACGTTTTAAAGTTGATACGGAAGAATTTACATTTTTAATTAATTCAATATTTCTTGCAAAAAATTGATTTGTTCGACGATCTTGACCAACATTAAAGGTTACCTTAATTAATAAAATAATAAAAATTATTGAAAATATTTTCTAACTAACTTGATCTCCAACTTTTACTGGATTTGATGGATCTTGAAAATCTGTTATGCCATATGGTAAAAAATAAGTTTCACCTTTTTTTACATAGGTAACTTTACCATCGGGCATAAAATTTAATTGATCAAACTAAAAAAAAGAAATTGAACTGTTTAGATAAAAATAAAAAACCATGTGCTAAATAAAATTTACGCCATTATTTTGTGATTGTTGTCGAGCAATTACTGCAATTGTACCTTCAACACGATTTTCACCGATTATTTCTGAACTAACAGGTACAATATTAATAGCAACTGGCTTTTGTTTTCGTTTATCAATTGTTGTTTCAAATTCAACAACATCTATTCAAAAGAAAAAAAAATAAGACTAATGATTAAATTTCTATAATGAAAAATAATTTATTTCTTTTAACCTCCTATTTTAGCTTGTTGTATATCATTTTTATATTCACTAAAGTGAAAAAAATATCGACCATCACGATGACAACAATAAACAAAACCATAAGTTGAACAAAGTTTTTCAATAATACCCAATTCACGTTGAGATTTATTTGAAATAATTTCTTCTATGTTATCAAGGTTTTTCATTGGTGTTGATGATGGAAATTGACTATAATCTAAGAAAATAATAAATTATTCAAATTTCATATTTTGTTTTTCTTAACTTTTCTTCTATTGCTTACCGTGCTGATAAAGTTCGCTTGGTACAGATGTCATCAAATATTTTATTTGTACAAGTAAACGATGAAAGACAAAAGATAAATCAACAAAATACGATGAAGAAAAAAAAAACAAAAAAGAAACTTGATAAATGTGACAAGATAATAAACTACGGCTATACAAAAAAAAATCTAGAAGATAAAAAGAATAAATTTAAACATATTAATAGATATTATGTTTAAATATAAGATCATAGTAATCTGAACTTTCATATGACATATGTAATAAACAAAAATATTTATATAGCAGAGGTCGCAAATTTGAAAAGATTATATTCACAAATAATTCCTAAGATTGATATTACTCGAAAGTAATAGATATAGAGTAAGAAATCTATACTTTTACACGTGATGATTAGTTTATTTCAACGAAAAAGAAACATAAGAAAAAGGGAACGATTGAAGAACAGTGTAGAAAAAAAGGGCATCAGCTGTTACTCATTTCTATGAAAATTTATTGGTTATTTATAAATGACGAATCAAAAAATACTTCGATTTTTGATTCCTGAATGTCATTTCAGTGAAATTAGTTCACTCATGTTTAAAACATTGAAATAAAGAATAACATATATTTAGCAGCCATATTTTCAACGAGAATACCCATCTCTCGAATAATCAAAATTTGTTAGTTTTTTTTCAGCAATAAATATAACTTTTGTCAACACTTTACACTATATTGTGCATTAGTTTATCAAAGATATTGAACTTTTAAAGTTGCAAAAAAAAATAAAAGATAATCAGATTGATAGAAATATTCTCATTTTTCAAGTCTATAAATCAATTAATCAAAATAACTTATTGAAACAACACATATTCATTTTTCTAATTGTGTACGACAACAAAAGAAAACAATATTATCTTGTTTTTAATTAAATACAACTTTTATAACGATGTCTGGATGAACTATAGTTGTTTTATCTTAGTAGCAATAATTAACATGTTTATTTTTTTTCCGACCGATCGAATCAAATTAACGAATAAAAGCAATTTAAACATCAAAACACTCCGACATGTTCAATAGTATATATGTTTGTAAATAAATGTCCTTTATTTGTAATTGTTCAAGTATCTGTATCATTCAAATTACTTGCTGATATAAGGATACAAAATTCAAACTGGTTAACAAAACAGATCATGAGAAATACTAAAAGAGATTTATATCTGAGTATTTACACTTAAAAATAGAATGTTCTTATGTACTATAACGAATCATTGTAAAATACATAACAATGAGATATGGAAAGAAAAAGATTTCGAAATATAATGATATGAATTATGACATGAAATTGGTTGCACATGGTTTCCAATCGATGTCATTTAATCGTCTCTTTTTCTCACCTATATCTACCTATTATCTAAAGTTGTATATGTTAATACTAATTTTTTCCTTATCATATATAAGCTGTTGTATAGCGTATATAATCAGTTACGGACGAGAATGAAATTTTTTATACATATACATTGTTGACGACATGCATATATATATATCATTCATAAACAAGCAAGTCTAACAATTTAACAGACTGCAATCAATAAGAAACATCTAATAATATAAATTACTCTCTTTTTTTTTTCGATAATGTATCAGCTGGATATATTTACCGTACGTATATATATATAGTCTAATATTTTTAGAATTAAAATATATTGAATGATGTTTCGTCTTCCACCACCACCTCGTTTTACACTTCCACCACCACCAATGCTTTCATCAGATGATAATATTAATAGAAAAATTCTATTTCGATTAACATGTTCGTCTATTCGACAACAACAGCATCGAGAAATCAGTAATCTTCGTTTGATTATAATCAGCTGTATTAGTTTTATAATTATTATTCTTATATTTATTCTCTTATTTATGTTAATTCAATTCTATTGTCGACGAAGATCTTTATTTTATAAGAATAAATCAAAACCACAATCAACATACAATATGAAATCAAATAATGTATCGATGAGTAGTAGTCGTTCATATGAAACAATCTCAACTGAACACATGGGTACTTATATTGAATCTATAGATACATCAGCAACAACTTTCTCAACAGATCCAAGTAATGTTGTTACCTGTCTTTATTGTCATCAAGAACGTGATTATTCAAATGCTTCTCTACCACCATATTATCATACACTTGAAATTCCTCCTTCATAAAAATTGATGTACATATTTGATTGTCTAAAAACAGTGATTATGATTGCTTTTGTTTTTCTATTTAAATAAAATAAATTCTTGTATGAATAATCATTGCAGAAATAATAAAGCACTGAAAAACTTTAATATTTAATTAAAAAAAAAATAATTTCAATAATTTTCTTTTATCTAAATTATCTCGATAACGATCATTTTTAGGTCGTATGAGTTTATGATCAATACATAATTAGAGGAAAGAAAGTTAGGCATAAAGTCATTGTATTACTAACAAAACAAAAAAAAATACAAACAAATTCAATTAAAATCAATTAACCAGAAGAGTGATAACAATAATTGACTTATTTGAGTACGAATTCAATATGATACATTGTTTAAATAAAGTTTGATATCATAGTCGAATTTTGAAATGACAGAAACATAAAAGACGTGATTTCGAGTTACTTGTAGATTTGAAGAAAAAAGATGAAAGTTTTTAATTCATTATCTTGGTGTTATTTCAATAGATTTAAAATATATCGATTTTCAGAATTAAAATTTTCTGAAAACCATTAATTGAGATACAACGATTCTTGTTCGTATCTTTTAACAATGATTAAGTTGGCCATGAAAAGATGTAGGTAATACAAATATTTTCTTACTGGTTTGATCATGCGACTGCTATTAATTTCGGTTAGTTTACGAGGAATAATAAATTCCATACACGTTGGAAAAAAAGGAATAATTGATTTCGATAAAAAGCTTTCATTAGGCGTTCAGTTCATGTGATGTACGAGAAGAATTATTTGTAATAGAAGTGTTGATGTTATTTTTATTTGGAATTAATGAATGTTCCGAATTTTGTATAGATTTCATAATAGATGATTCTAATACAATACACGATAAAGCATTCGTAGATTGATCTGTTAATCTTTAACGAATAATCATTCATAGTTATTAGATGTTTCTCAAGGACTAATTTGAATATTTATCATTCTATCTTACAGCAAGGCGTGCCATCCGTTTTCCATCTGTTATTATGAGTATAATAGTTGTGTAATAATTGCTCACGAAGAAATCATATAGATAGGGTTCTTAAGTAATCAATTTAGTATATCGGATTACTTTATAAACATCTTAAATCTCCAAGTAAAATCTATCATATTTTATTACTATTTCATTTGNATTATCTTCATTACAAACGGCTGCGAACTCAAGTCAGCGTAATCTTCAAGTGTCTCTGACGGTTCACGATAGGGACTAATATATTGCATTATATCAGAGAGAAAAATATTTGTTGAGTTACGGTATGACATATTATGTTTTTACCTCAACATATACGATTTAGAGAAAGCACTGAACGAACAGTTTGATAAAACGTTAGAATAGGACCAAGATGCTGACAAGTTATGATCTAGGCGAAGAACTTAAATGCGATAAAGAAGTGCTATTTATACTTGAATAATGAGTTCTATTTGATTATCAAGTAGTCGCTAACTGTCTTACGTTCATGGGTGTTCTCTATGGTAAATAAGACATGTTCGACTATGTATTACGACTCTTTTTCAAAACTTTGAACATGTATTGTCAAATATTTTTATCTGATCACATTGATTAATAATGAAACCAAGAACAAAAGACAGTTGTCAGCAACACTGAATCTGTCGAAAAAACAAGACACATAAAGAGCAATCTATCAGAGTCATGTTTCATTGTTATCATACATCAAGTGTTGAATATAATCATCACCTATCAACCTGACCTCCCTGCTGAAATTTAATTACAGTAGCATCACAAACGAATTCACAACTATCAAAAGTAAAACCCTCGAAATAGTGAGATTCAATAATAATTTGAAGTTGAGCTTTAATATCAGAGGGAAAATGCAGATTTTAAAACATTTTCAAAAACTGTCACAACCCACTTCTGCATCTGAGATAGACCCGACATAATCATTCACTTCGCGCTCATTCCACTGACCCAAACAAAAACTAAGTTAGAATGGTGTGGGTGCCTCGCTGCATATTGATCCTACTACATCACATTCTCATTGCAAACTCCTTAACAACATTTAATTTTTTCTACTAATAGTTCAACTTTATTTTAAACAAAGTGTAAAAAATAATTCAATGAATTTTATTTAGAATTTAAATGAGCTGTCAATGTATTCCATTGTTCATCTTCTATTTGTGTTAATGTTAATTCGACTTTCCATAAACGTTCTCGTAATTCTTCTGTTTCACCAACACGAAAAATGGCACCAATTGAAAATAGAACTTCATCTTCATCTTTAAAAATACTTTGATACTCAATTTTAGCAAACGGTATAGAATGTTTAACTTTGGTATTTACAGAGATCTCAAATATGACTGAAACATGTTCTTTATCTAAATTTCCGTCACCAGCAAAGAAGCAAGCGGCTACATAATCGCTTGTTGTCGATAAGAATGAATTTGTTGAAACGAGATTTCCTTTATTTCTTTTCAATTCTTCAAGTTGATTCCAATCCATTGTTAAACCACGATAGAGTGTTAAAATAGATATATTTGATGGTAATAACCGAAGAAAACCAATTTGCATTTGAGCAAGTTGATTATGAAGATCATTGATAAAATATCGTAATTTAAATATTAAATCAATACTTTCAATTCTTAATGATTCATTAATTATTCGATAGATGAAACAATCCGTTGTATACCATTTTATTGCATCTTTTGCATCATATGTTTGTTCAAAAATATCAATTTTTCTTAACTCAATCGAATCATTTGAATAATTTTCTCGACAAACTTCAAGTAGTTCATCACGAGAAAATTCTGTTCGATCTAATCGTAACATCATATCAACAAATAATTGAAAGGCAAGAAAAGGAACACTGTGATCTGTTAAATTACGAAAAAAATCTTCTTTTGGTTGTTCAATTTCTGATATAAAGAATGATCGTTGACTGATAATATTTGTTGTTCTTAAATACCATGGTTGCATTATTGATAGAAATTGATTATCAGTCTCATCAATGAGAATCAAATCAACATACCATATATTATCATCTGAATTTCTTACAACATTCTCGACTCGAAATAAAGAACGAAATGAGAATAAAACTTCTAATTCACATTCAATCGTACTAAATTGTGATATATCCATAAAAACAGCTTGTTGAATATCAGAAGAAATTCGAATAGTAAAAAGAACACGTTCAACTGGATCTGATCGATTTGGTGGCCAGATTTTAGTAAAACGAAATGCAGTATCCCATGAATGAGTAGTCGACCAAAAAGCAGTTAAACCAATTATGCTACCAATATTCATTTCGATCTTTTGAATTTCACTTAAATGTATTTGTTGACCACGATATACAATATCAATCTGATTATGTTTGTGTTCATCGTGATATCTTGCAAAACAATTTTCTAAATCATAAATAATATATCGCATAGCAAATATATGATTAATATCTTGTGAACGAAGTGTTCGATTCAATAGAAGATAACAAAACGAATCTCGAGTATACCATTTTAGAATATCTTTTGAATTATACGTTCGTTCAAATTCTTCACATGACTTTTTAACTTTATCAATTTGTTTTGTATGAAATATTCGTATACATTCTAACAATTCATGTCGTGCTACAAATGTATTTTTTAAACTTGAAAGAATATTGAAATAATATTTGTACCAGAGAAATTTGGCTGTATCAAATGTTAAATCGTGAGATGATCGTTCAACTGGCCATGAATCGAATGTAATATATAGGCGACGTCGTTCTTGAACACTGACATGAATACTATCAACAAGTGATTGCATATCTTCAAAGTGTTCAACATGTTCATAACGGCATGAACAATTACCAACAATGATTATTTTAATAATTTGAGGAAAAATAGGACGAATAATATGATATACGATATTAATCAGAAGATGAGAAACAATGAGAGTTATTTTAGTATAAGTTGAAATAAAAATAAAATCAATAAAATCATCAATATCAATAAACCAATGTTTAACATAAAATTTTAATGAAGGATTTGATCGAAAATCCCGTTCAGTAATATCAAGAACGATCATACATTCTTCAGTCGAATGCAATCTTTGTCTATTTGTGTATAGACGATATCTCGGCATTTATCAACTAGAATAGCGATCAAATAAACTCACGTTTTAGTCATTTGAATCGTAAACATCACTGAGAAATTAGAGTATCACTTTAGTTGTTCTTGAGAATGATAGATGCACTATTAAGTCAAAGCAGCATGCCATCAATAAATGTCGCTCACCAAATTTGATTGTAGACGTCTATAAGAAATTTTGTAATATCTTCACTTGAACATGATTAAATGTAAGATAGATACCCGACACTTGTATGATTCTTTGGAACGAGTATTCAGAGTAAATCAAGTTTTGCGCTGATATCAGAAGTGTAATTGAAATATGCCAACGGACGAGATTTATTTCACCTACAACATATTTAAGAGCACAACTGTTTACTATTCTAGCAAGTATGTCTTTCTTATTCACGATACAATTCACTAACATGCAAGATTGTGTGTGATTTTGTTAACTCAATCTCGGCGATTTCCGATAGAGTATTCACAAAAAAAGAACTGTGGGAATTCCAATTTATCGGAAAGGAAGGTTTTCAAGGGATCAACCGCTATTATATTAGGGTCGAATGAAAAAGGTAAATTCTAGTGCGAAATGAGAAATTCAATAAACGACACATATCTTTAGGTGTTCCTCCCAGATGTATAGTCATTATCTAGAATTCTATTACATAACATAGTAGATATACTAAGTAATTAACTGAGAGAATTTCGACCTAACATTCAGCCAACAGATAGGCCTATTGAAACTGAAACACATGGACAATTTTTGTTGACAATAATTCTTCCTGTTCGCTAGATACCTTAAAAACCGATACCCTAAGCAGCTAGCTTGCATGCTAAAAGATGCGATGAAAAATATCGGTATGAATAGATTTGAGTGTAAGTGGCAATGGGTTGGTATATGTTTCGATGAATGTT